ACTACACGTAGTTTGAATAATAATTTCCATGCAAAGGAAAGATTTGAAGGACAAGAATGAAAAAATCCAAACCTGCAAGCAAATCTCTGTGTCTCAGGTAAAAACACTACTACGATTTGTGTTCACACAGCAGAGGTCTCTGTTGGAACATTAATAACCCATATTTGACCAGACCCATATGTGCAATGTCACTGTGAGTTTTAAGAACGGAAAATGGTTTCTGAAGAAGTTACTGCTGTTGCTCTTACTCAGAACAGCACCCATGTTAGCAGGGTTGAGTCATTTTAACTGATGTCAGTGTGGGTTTAGTGAAGGCATTTGTCTCAGCAGGGTGATCCGAATGCCGTTTTTACCTGGGCTGTTGTTTTCAAAGTTACTTTGAAGTTCTGAATAACAGCTCAGTAACACCTTTATTCTAGCATGAATGGAGGGGGAAAATAGCTCCCATATAAAACATAACAATTTCAGGAATGCTGGAATAAGAACATATGGGTGAGCGTGTGCTTTTGTACCTGCAAAGTAAATATCCCATCCTCCCTTTCTGACCATATCAGTACCAGGGGGAGATGGCCAGACCCATCTTCCTTGTGTTACCTTACGGATTTCCACGTGATCTCCCTTGGTCTTTGAACTGCCAGGAGTAGACAGCTAAATTAGTACCATCTAGGAAACAGGACTGTTTGTATCCTCTCCTCACTCTTAACACTCCTGTGCAGTCTGAGCTGCAGATTGACCCCTATTGATCTGATTTGACTACACTTCTCTGGAGCAGACAAACTGTGCAATAGAATTCAGGGACACTAATTCATGGTACCTTATTTAGGTTCCTAGGTAATTAGTATTTGCATTAATCACATTCATCAGCAGAACCTGAGTCTGCCTCTTGGCTTATATGCATTCCTGTTCCTGACAAGGGAACAAAAAGGTATCTGCACTGAAAAAGGACTGTTTTAAGAATATTGATACTTGATAGTTGCAAAACTTAACTATTAGAAAGAAGACTGTTTTTCAAATCAATGGCTCACGCATTACTGTAAAATATATCGATTAAAAACAAAGCATAATGTTAGTCATTTAGTCAGTAGAGTGATGCAATACTGAAATAAATTTATCCTTTGACTTTTGCATTAACCTTTTATTGACTGCTTGCATACTCATAATTAACACACACTTTAGCTAGCTTGGTTAATCTTAGCATCATGATCAGTGTGCTCTGATGTAGCTGACACCCTGATCATCAAAATGTCAGTGCAGCTCAGGGAACCATAACCAGGCAAGTGTCAGTCTCAGTGAACAGATACACCTGCCCATGGAGATGTTAGCCACCTTCCAGGGAAAGTGGCATATATTGCCATGCAAATGCTCATACAGTCATACAAATGTTTGTCATCACTTAGTGGAACATGCATTAATAGTTCTTGGTCAGTATTAATGAGCAAAGTTTATTTGGAAGAAACAGGCAAAAAGGGGATCAAAAATCTGTGAACTTTACAGGGTAGAGGTAGTGAGAATGTGCGCTGCAACAGTAACTAATTGTTCCTTAAAAATTGGCTTTTTTAATTGAAACTGCCACGGGTCTAGACTGTGTTAGTAAGAAAGCAGAGACTATGGAGTTCGGTGCATTCTGCACATCTTTAGACAAACAATCCTTTCTATAATATGTTGGTGAACATGTATTGTCAAGGTGTTGCAGCTAAATGGCTCTGAAATGTATCATAGCAGTTTGTCTGTCCTGCTGCATATAAGGTATTGAAGGTGCCCCTTGATTTGGCATCTGTTCTATATCTCAGAGCTCGTGTGACTTCTACTCTTTACACATTTTGTACGTGTGATATACACAGATTAGTTCTACTGTCTTTTGGACATTTGACTCCATTAACTCAAATAAAAGTTTTTAATTGATATGGAATACCTTCGTTAACTTACAATGTTATAAATCTTGGTACATTCCCATTACCACTGTACCTCTATGTTTGCAGCCTTTCCCACATGGAACCTCATAGTTTCTTTTGTATTTGGCAAAATAATTTCTGTTTATTGGGAGTTATTGTTGCTAATTTATGTTAGCTATCAGATACAAAAGAATTTGGAATAATTGTGTGCAGTCATCTGTGCCTTTGATTGTTCTGCTTCAGTTTAAAATATATTTTAAGATATTCAAGATATTCAGCTCTGTTCCGCTGGTACAAATTAAAGACCATTGTAGAAACAATTTCTCCTACAGAAATTTTGTAAAATCAGTAGTAATATACTCATCTTGAAGACTTGTTCTTGCACCCTAATTCTGAGTCAAAGCACATCTTTGTATGATTGTGTCCAAGCTTGTGGTTGCTATTCAGGTGAATTGCATAACAAACTTCCAGGTGAGAGGTGACTGCTTAGAATCCAGCCCCATACCTTCAAATAGGAGCAGATTGAGTTGGCTTTGATGTCAGCAGATACAGCATAGGGATTTTAATTTTGTTCAAAATACATGATTCACTAAATGTAAAAATGTTCTGCTGTTCTTGCTATATAAAGCAAAGCAGTAGTAATCCAACAGAAAGACAAAGGAGCTGTGGGATTGCTGAACTTGGAGTTCAGCGCTGCATTCCCTTTTTTGTGCTTTTACAGTACATTGATGCATTTCTGTCATCAGACTTGCACAAAAACACTTCCAGTCCTCTAATCCCTCACATGGAATATGCTCGGGCTAAAACTTCCCAAATGCATGATTGTCTGGAAGTTTAGGCACATGCTTAGTTGTGGAGAGACCTTTCAGCAATGACTCTGTTGGTAACAAAAGTAGAGAAGAGAAAGTAGTGAGTAGTGGCTCATGAGCTGTCCAGGCACTGCATCACCCTGACTGCTGCCACATTTACAGCAACACAAATGCTCAAATGTGAGGGGAAAGCTGGTCAATCCATTTGTGTGAGAGAGCAATGGAACAAAAAGACATGAAAGGTTAAAGAAAGGGTGCTGAAATGGTGAAGAAGCTAAAAGCTGATATGTCTTTTCTCTCAGTGAAAACTGTGTTGTTAATAGCAGGTGTGTGAGAGAGAGAATGTTTATTATTATCATGAGCTGAGTTTTGCAGACCACGTAACATGCCTGCAGTACTTACTGGCTGAGCTTCCTGCTTTGTCATCTGCAATAATCTCTAGATGGTTAATTTATCCCCTTTCAGATTGAAATGCTTAAACTGGAATATCTTATACTACCACTAAATAGATCATATTCTTTTATGCCAAGGCAGAAAATAAAGCAAAATTTTAAAAGCCTTATAGAGTTATGCTGTAATTAGTTTCAGCTTCCCCTGCATATTAATTTTCTCCTGTTCCTTTATATAATTTGGAAAATGTCTTCCAAACATGATGGCATGATCAGTTAAGTACCTCTCAGAACTCATACACTAAACTGCATTTGCTCTAACAACTATTATAAAGCAGCCAGCAAAACAAATCCTCTGTTATTCTGTACAGTGCAGCTTATCAATGCAAACAGTTTAATATTTATGCTAAGAGGATTGTCACAAGTAGCTTCTGTTCCTTTAATTCTTGTTTTAAATAAATAATGAGAACATTTAAACACATTACGCTTCCCAGGGCCCTGAGGTCGGCTAATCTTATTATTTATGAAGTGATGTGCTACATAATAGTACTTAGTGCATGTTAACAGATGCTATTATCAGGGGCTGATGTGGAGAGCTGAAGATATATTGGAATGTTATGTGTTAATACTGTCCTTGTAGTGTAATGTACGATGGATTGAGTGCCCAGGATGCTGGTGCGGCAATTAACCACCCACCAACATGGGTGTAAAGCTGAAGGATGTTTTCTCATGGGGATTACACTGCTATTAATAATTCCCAAGAGAAGAAGACATCTTTCATTTGGCAACAGTCTCTTCCAGAAGGTCGACAGTGTGGACAAGGAAGTTGCTTGTGTCAGTATTTTTAGAGTTCATTCTACGACAGAGATGAAAGACACACATATGTTTAGAACAACTGCTAAATTCTTGCAATTGTGTGATTTATGGAACACAAATTTTAAAAAAATGTCTTACAAGAGATAAAAATGCATTTCTACATTTTGCTTGTTATCTCTTTAAAGAGCTATATAGGCCTGCAGTATATACCAAAATTATGGTAATGCTCAGCATTTTTGTTTATCTTGCCCCACTGTGAACATTAACTGATGAATAAGCAACATGCAAAATTGTTCGAGGGGAAGGGAAGTGTGACAGTGTTCTTGATGCAGCATGTTGTATTACAGTCTAATCTTTGGAGATGTGATGGTTACCACTTATAAAACTTTCCTCTGCCAGCTGCAGTTCAGTTGAATATTATAATTAGACTTCACTAGTATTGATGAATAATCCATTTAATAAAAACCATTGTAATTTAAACATTTTCTCTGGGGACTAACATACACTAACCTCTTAATTTAATTTTATTGAAGTTTTGCCCACCTATTCATCACTGGAAGTTGTTATTAACCTCCATTTCCATTTATCTTTATAGAATTTTCTCCTTTTATATTGCCTTTTTCAGACCTAAGCAGGTTGATACACTTGTAAATCTCCAGAATCTACAAAGCCAGTCCGGCTTCTTTAATATTGTTTAATCTATCCCCCCTGACCTTAATGCAGTAAATTCAGTTTAATCTTTCTCAATAATCTAGTAATACATTGGAAACCGCCAAACATTTAAATCTGATAATGGTTTAATCACATACTTTAAATAACAGCTGAGATAATGAAAAAATAATTCACCATATAAAGGAACACTAACTGAGTTTTCTCTGTGATTGGCTTTTTGAGAAATCCCTATAGAAAATACAAAGCCTACAACAGAAATCAACTTCACTGGAAATGAGCAATCCATTTGGTCAGAAGATGTCGTATTTCTTTTTTATTATCATCTTTCTCTTTAAATTAATGCACAAATATATCCTCGCTGACTATTCAGTTTCTAGATACAGTTTTACTTAAGTAGTTCATCTGCTTACCTTTCTTTTCAGATGCCAGTCAGATGCAGCAGAGAGCTTGCCAGAAGACCAGAAACCAGAATGTCATCCCTTCTGGACAGATGATGATGAATGTAATATGCCTCTGCCATATGATCTTGAAGAAGTAATTGCTTATCTACAAAATCTTACTCAATGGATAACAAGTGACCTTCCAGCCTAGAATTATTGATGCTCATCATCTGGGGAGAAGCTTTATAATTTAGCATAAATCCTTTTCAGCTTTATGATTCCTTCATCGTGTGCTGTTTTATGTGTCAATGCAGATTTCACCAGTCATCACACAGTACCTTAGTTACTCTCTCATAATAAAAAAGACCAGCCCCCAAATTTACAGAAACTTTTTTTTTTAAGACCTGAGTCCAGAACACCAGCCTTAGTTCTGTCCTCCTCTGCTCTAATTCCCATTGACTCTACAGCCCATGGATATCCGTGTTTCGCAGAAGCAGAGAATGGATCACGTTGGAAGGGACCACAGTGGAATCATCTGATCCAGCCTCCCCGCTCAGGCTGGGTTGTTCTAGAGCACAAGACACAGGATTGCATCCAGACAGTTCTTGAATATTTCCATACTGATAGACCTTGATAATGTTACTTCTCAGTCATCTCTTCTTGAGGCTGAACAGGCCCAACTCCCTCAGCCGGTGTGTTTTCACAGGTTCCCTTGGTATCTAAATTTCAGCTTCCATGAGTGCCTAGAACTGCCTCTTGTTTGGCAGGTTTGAGCAACACAAAATGTATCTCACACTTAAGTTTGGCAAAGCAAACTTAATGATTTGGGCATCCTAATGATAGGTGAGGTTGGGGTGAGCCTGCTGGAGATCTTCAGAACAGCTGTGAATTCTTCGTCCACTAAGACGGAGGAGCAGGAGATGGTGGAGATAGCCCTTTAAGGAGCAGTGGCTCCTTACTAGACCATTTTTTCAGATGAGGAACTCTGGAGGAGCATCGTAACATAGATCCCAAGACTTTCTTGCTGTTTTGCATCATGGCAGTTGAGTAGTCCTGGGAGAGATTTACAGTGTGAATCTACACCTCCTTGGCTCCCTGGAGCTCAGAATTCAGTTCCTCAGCATTATTTTGTGTTGTGAATTCTGCATGTTGTGAATTCTATTCTGAAGCCAGGTTTCCCAGTGCATTGCCTGAAGAGCTGATGGACCTAAATAAGGCTTTCCATTTGGGTTGTTGGGTTGATATTGGGCATTCCAGCATCTAATGAGATCTATGAGAACAAAACCAGAAGACTATGAGAAATGAAGCTGTTTGTGATCTGTTTTGTAGTAACATGCTATAAAAAGAACAATTCTATGTTGAATGATACACAACACTCCTGAATGAGACAGAGAATTTTGATTTGGTTAAATTGCTATTTTAACTTGAACTGGTGTACAACTTTGCCACAAAAAGCAGAATAAAATCATTACAGTGAAAAAGCACTCAGGCTCTATTACCACTACAAAAGAAGCCAGTAAGACTCAGAGGTTGACGTTGCCACCAAGAAATGAATATGCCTCCTGTGTTAATCTTCTGTTTAAAGTCACTGCTGAAGCCAGGCTCACCCAGAGCACACCAGCATTCTGAACTGGCAAAGAGCTGTGTGTGCAGATGAGGCTTGTACTGCCGAAAACTGTACTTTTGACAGTCTAACATGTGCCAGACCTCCCTGGAGCTAAAGAAGCCGTGCCAGTAAAAATTCAGTTTTAGTGGTATGGAACTGTGTCCACACCTATAAGCTTTTGCCAGAACAATTATATCAAGTAGAGATTGTACCTCATAACACTTCTGGCGTAGTTGTGCCAGCAAATCTATAGAGACCTGAATCAAGTGTTTTCATGGTAGTCCTGGGCTTCTGCAAAAACTGTTAGCCACCCTGTAGAATGTAAAGACTCTCTGAAGAATAATTGATTATTTAAAGTAGATTTGATTATATTATTACCTTGATCCACTCATTTATCTATTGTCTCTTGTGCCACAGATTTCATAACATTCGGAAATACTGTTATGGGCATAGCTTTTTCTTTCCTGCACTAGCTAAAGCTGGCTTTACCAGTGGGCAAATAGCACGTATTTGGATTACTGCCACACTAAACACTGTTTACTTTGGAGATCACTTAGGGAAAAGCTAGCTGAAGATGTGGGAATTCTGCTTTTGAAAAAGCAGTTCTCAGAAACAGATATTGCTTTGGAAATGAGCAATATGAATTCAAACAAATTAATGATGTAACACTGTTAACACACTGTTTGAGAGGACTGTTTGTTTATGCTGTTACTGTATGATTACTTTGTGTTTAATTAAGCACTGCTAAAAACCGTGGGGATCACAGTATTGAAAGGAATCTGACTGCCACAAAGGGTGGACGAGGCACATTAATGTTGTAGTTTTTAGCTGAACTGGAGGCATAGCTATTAAAAAATGATCAGCAAATAATTATTTCCAGCAGCAGTAGAAAAAACCAAACCACTATTAGGAGACTGCTGGCAGTAATAATAGAATTTTTAAAAATACACGTTCCCAGGTCTAAATACACGTTCCCAGGTCTTGCCTATGCTTGAAGATTTAAGGTAGTGAATTAGCTGAACTAGTACTAGTCTCAGTGCAGTCACACAGCACTCATTTAAGCCATGGATGGCAATGAAATAGAAAAATTAACACCTTTGGAATGAATAAGACCTAAGATTCACTGCCAAAATACCAATAATCAAGTGATTAAACAGGATTAATGCTCTGTGTTGCATTCCAATCTCACATCATCTGAATCAGTATAACTTGATTGAGTTCGGTTGAAATGCAGAAGTATGAGAAGATTTCATATCTTCAAAGCCCACGAGTTGATAGCAAAGACATGAATAAGGTTGATGGAACTATTTGAAGCACATAGTAATGCCAAAGGGTACCCTAAAAGAAGAGCACAGTTAAAGGTAAATATATGTAAAAAACCTGGGACATTAAGTGTAAATTATCTCTGTGTTGGGATTATGTACTAGAAGCTGACAAATACTTTGAGGTTTTCTTTTTATTCAAATAGTTATAATTTAAGTAATGTTGCAGTGATACTTTAGCCATCCATTTATATTCCAGCATTAGATAGCATATTTCCATTTTGGAACTGGAAGACACAGCCTCTAATGAAAGTTCTCTGTATATCAAGTGTTTGCCAAGCCTGGCTGCTCCAGAAGCGTGAGAACCAAGGTCAAGTTTTTTCAAGGAAGAGGTGAGAGCATAAATTAACTTCTGACATTAAATTCAGTGATTCTTTTTAAATGGCGAAGTTCATGACGTTGCTTACATTTACTTTTCACCAGCCATGACTGAATTAAGGTAAAATAGTTCACTTGCACGTGTGCACCAGGCTAAATGGATTGCAGAAGATACAGATCTGTTTGCCTGTCTGCACTTGCCTTTAGACAATATTCATCAATTTTACAAAAGCTACTGACTAAACATGGAACCAATACAAATTAAATGCTCGAGGCAAGGGCTTTCTTTTAAAAATCTGATACAGAGTTGGTTTTACACTGATAGAAAGAAAATGTTGGCAGAAAATGAAAAACTTTTATTGTTTCTGTAATTTGGGGGATGAAAGATACAGACTGTTTCTAAGTATTTGATAGAAAACTGCTGTGTTATGCAGTGTAATTAGAAATATTTTTATAATGCTTTGTTCATATCTCTGTGTATGAAAATACTTTATCCCTTAGGTCCTTTCTTCTGTTGAAAAGGTTATGTAAATAAATAATAATCTCAATACAGTAGATTTTAATGGCATCATGCTTATGTTCTAAGCTTTACAGCAGGTTCTGATTATACAAAGTGTAAATAAGAATGCTATGAATAATCACTGACTGGACACTGTGCAGGATGAGTAACATGCACCACAAGAAATACCCAAATCAGTTTCTCAGTTGGGTAAAGCATGCTGTTAATGATGGCAAGGTCACAGTCATTCATTCACTTAAGTGTTGGACTCAGTGATCCTTGTGGGTCCCTTCGAACTCAGAATATTCTGTGACTCTGAATCTCCATCCAGATGTGGTTTTAGGGTCACTGATAATGGTGCAAGATGCACTATAAAATCATGCTGGACTTCTTTATGCCGTGGGAGAGATTCAGGGATTTCATTGACATAATAGGAAATAAAGAAATTCAAAGATTACTAAAATCCATCCTGAAGGGTGACTAAAATATTGTAGTGTTTAAGAATGGACATTGCTCCTTTCTCAGTTGTTGCAGTGCTGTTCCATTAATCCTGTGCCATGCAGCGCAGTTTGGGCTGTTACAATGGCTGTTAAACTAGGCCAGGAGCTGATGTCTAATCTGGGGTGAGAGGAGGGGAAGAGAGACAAGATGAGATGCACATGAGACCCAAGGGATGTGCTTTCTCAAGGCCACAACTTTATTAACTGAACTCATATGGGAGTCATTGAGCTGTAACTTGTACAGTGCAGGTCAGGATCTCTCCTTTAATTGTTACCACCTGGTGCAAACTTAATGTTGGCTCCTTAAACCCCTTCCTGCCCCTGACAGCTGGTCCTCAGCTTTTTTGCTAGGGGCTGACCACTCTGTGCTCACACCAAGGTTACAAAGTTAGGAAAGTGGTTATTCCACTGTAGTAATAGGCATGAGAAACTCTCATCCCTAGTTTCGTCCTGCACCTCTGTCCTACTGCCCCTCCATGGACTCCACTCAACATCTGTTTCTCATTTGAGATTCAAGTTTTTGCAGCTCATCTCCTACCTATCCTACCAGGATGGTGAGCTGCCATGGGGAAGGGTCAGACAAGCAGAACACTGTTTGCAGTGAGGTTCCTCATCCCAAAAAAGACACCCACTGCACTCCCCACAAGAGAATGAAAAGTTTAGCACTACACTAACCTGGCATTAGGGGAGGGGAGCTGCTAGGGAGTGATGGCTAAACTACCAGCATTTGATATTTGATGGCTAAACTACCAACATTTGATATTTTGGAGGACTCCCGGTCTGCCTGGTTCTGGCTGTCACCTCACCCCACCTGTAGAGGCTGAGGCAATCCTGAATAGGTCCACTGTTCTTTCCTGTCCAGACTGACTCTTCCCCTTCAGTGTGGCTGGGCTTGTATCTTCGTTTACATTCATCTGTCCTCTTCATCTTAGCCTAAGGGCATTCATTGAACAGGAGAAGATAATTTACACAGCTGTAAAGAGACTGTATGCAGAAAGGCTGCAGAACTGGCTGAATAACATGTAAAAGCCAAGAAACAACTGATAAAATTATCACATTAAAATGCTGATGTTTGGGCACGAGCACTTCACATATGTCATGAAAACTATGGTTTATCTCCTTATTGCTTTGGAGGTATTCATAATCCAAAAGGATGTATTATGCTATGGTTTACATTCTCTTAATCTTCACTGGTTTTAGAGGGCTTGTCCATGATGACTAAGAATTTGGTCACAAAAGTTGTTCTCCTCCCCCTCTCATCGAATATTTGCTTTCATGCCAACACATCTTGGTCTGATTAGTCCCCTTGATTACAGGCTAAAGTAAAAAGTCAGGTGTATAGGATTCCCATTATCCTTTATTTTGCTGCTTCTAAGAACAGGTCAGATAGAGTTATTTCAGTGAAAATGTGAACAATCAACTTCTGTTTACCATTAACCTTCAGTTTTCTTTTCTTAAAATCAAATCAGGGCTTGGTAGGCAGTTATTTTCATACATGTCCCTTGATCAGTGGAACAATCTGTCAAAGACCATTAAAGCCTCTATTAGGTTGAATTGCATTCAAAGTTAAGCTATCCAATCATTTGAAGGGCTGTGATGATTGTTTTTAATATAGTATACATTGATTTCTCTCTCTGAGTAGTAATGTAACTTTGAAACTAAGCATATATGACTAGGGCATTTTGCTATCTGAGAAGCTTTGTTTCTTGTGGAACAGGAAAAAAACAAATGCAGTGAAATCACCTCTGTATTCTCACAAGCCTTTCATTTTTCCTAGTTCATTGTAGCCCTCACATTATAATGTATATGGAATGGGAAGAAATTTTCCAAGGTCCTTTGCTCAAAATCTTCACTGAAAAATTTTAAGATCTAATTGTGCTAATATTTTAGAAGTGGCTCTGCATCTTAAGATCTCAGGATGCTTTACACAGAGAAACTGAGGCAGAGGTCAAAAGTGCAGCAGGGATCGGACTGCCAGCACCAGAACCGGGTGTTGTGTAACCCTCCATCGCTGGCACATCCCCATCACTTCCAGTTAATCAGCTCAGTTTACAGATTAAAGATGCTCTCACAGAACTTGTTGTCCTCCAAAGTTATATCTGAATGTGGAGCTGTAACCTGACCTACTCATGTCATATTTAGCACAATATTTATTTACATAACATATGATAATACATCTCATATAATAGAGATCTTTTGTGCCTCCTAAGGTTTGATTAAACTTTCCAGTGACTCTTTTAGTTATAGTTCAGGTCCCTGAGCTCTAAATGGAAAAGGTAAATTTTACTGGAACTATAAAACTATTCCATGGAGACTGTACAGTATATAATACAATATAATACAATCCTTGCTCTTTTACCTCTATTTAAAGTGTGTCCACTGCATGCCTAACAAGGTGGTATAACTGCTGTACTAGGAAACTCTCAAGAAAATACCCCGTGGGTATTTGTGGTATTTACCAAGGTGAAGATGAGTTGCTGGAACAAACTGGAATGTTGGTTATGCACTTATTAGCACTATTGTCTGGTACCTATTTGGTAGTCTGGTAATACTTTACTGAGAGCACTACTTTACTAGTTATTTTGATGAACATCCTAATAGTATATTACCCAAACATTATCAAAGCATTCCACATTTCTTTCATTGCTGTTCTTTCTCTTTTATCAACTGATGGCCCTCCTTTCCCTTTTGTCTCAGTATTAACAGTAATGTTATTAACAAGTTTTGGTTTTTGTTAGGCTGATGTGACTTTAAAGTGAGAGAACTTTAGAATTATATATCAGATAGCAGTCTCTGAAGTACATTTATCTTCAAACAAATTTATTTATTATTTTTTATTTGGTACTTCCGCATGTAATTTTTATTAAGGACTATTTATATAACTCTGCAAGATATATGGTGAGAATATAAGTTTGTATTATGTATTTCCTAATTTACTGACATTTATAAAATAAACCAGTAAAGAATCTGTGTCTATCATTTGCCCTATGGAGTGTGTTAGGTCTTGTCTTCAGTCCCTCATTGTTGCAGTGTGTGGAAGAAGAGTGTATTTTTCCCACCATCTAACTTCAGGTGCCTATGTGAGAAAATGATTTTCTGTAAGCTTCGTATATGCCAAATAGTGAGAGATAAGCTTCTTCAAAGCAGCAAACTCAAAGCTGCTCTGAATCTGCTCTTCAGTGGTGCATTACAAACTACCTGAACTGTGTGGCAAGTCCAAGTTAAGTGCATAGTTATCCACATCTGCCTATGCTGGCAATTTAATAATGGTAAATAGATAAAATAGATGGTGAAGAATTTGTTTTTATTCTTTGAATTGATAGAATCAAATTCTGGTTATATTGCAGATCTTCTAGTAAGGAAGGTAGATTAATTTCTGTTCCTTTGATTAGAGTCAGACCATAAATGAATATGACTGACTTCCACCCCCTGTAGAAGTGTTTCCTTCAGCAAAAACTTATGGCTCTACTAGGTAGAGAACATATTCTTCTGGCTGTGGAACCTCACACTTCCCCATGTCTGACACAAACTCTTATATTGTGTGAGTAGTGGGAACTCAGGGCCTACCAGCTCTGCATTAACCTGTTTGAGTGTGTAAACTGTTCAATTTTTGTTGCTGTAGAGTTTACAATTTAAAAAATGTAGTCATGTTAAACAAGGCAATATCAGAGAAATATCTCTCGCACAGAGACTAAAAGGTAGTGAGATTTGTGATGTCTGTTGTTTCTAGGGAGCTTCATTTCACAGGTTTAACTACCACTCACATCAGATTTTGTGGAGGGTTGTACTGTGTCAAAGGAACAGTTGTCATTAGTTGTCTCCATCCTGGGGGGTGTGGAAAGCTCAGTCCATGCTATCCCAGATTCAGGTAACAGAACAAGGCAAGGATTAAAACAGCGAATTTCCTTTGATACTTTGAAGAGAACCATTGTAGAGAACAGCAGGATGATTTGATGTGCACATGCCCATGTGGCTGAGATGTACTGCAGTGTTCTGTATTACTTGGAGTTCCCTTAAGGCCAAAGACTGTGTGCCCAAATTGTTCTGCATTACTGGATTCCAGCCAAGAGGTGATGAAAGTGCGAATAATATTGGCCAGGATGGAATGGAGTCTCCAAGCAAAAAAGTTGACAGAGAGCATTTTTCACAGACACTCCAGCAAGGCATCCAAGAGGTAGGAAATTTGATTTCTTAGCCTAGAACATTCTTTCCTTGGCTTTGGAAAAGGTTTAATTGATTTAAGTAAAAGTCAGGCAACTGGATGGAGACCCATTTACAAAACCAGTGTGATTCTGAAACATTTCATACAATCCATTGTGATATATAGTATATGTATCTAGAAAGACCAAGATGAGTGTCCCTGGGATCTACAGTGCCTTAAGCTGTTCTTTTTTTTAATTCTGGTTCTCTCAGAGCATATTTTCCTTTTCCTTAACTTTTCATAAAAATGGGTAAAACATAAAAAAAAAAAAAAGATGCAACAAAGGGGCCTTTGCTGGAGGGACACAAGCGAAAGGAGACTCAAGAACAGGCATCTTCCGAGGGGGTTTAAGAAGCTCTTCCAGTCTCTGCACTCAAAAGCAGCTTGTCTTAAATGAGACAGAGACTAAGAAGGATTCATTGTTTGTTGTACTTTGATTTTTACCCTAATTCCTTTCTTTCTGTAGGAAATCTATCAGGAGAAACTAAATTCTTTTTGGGGAGACAGACTTGTAGTTGTCTTTTCACCCTAAAGGCTCTTGCCCCCCGTTACACACACCTATCACCCTTCAAATGAGAGTTTCATATATACACCCTGCTATAGCTGAAAGATATTCTTTCCTTTCGGTGATGAGACTTCATTTCTGATCTGAAAGATCTCAAGTTGTATTGCTGAAGTTGCAGGTGTGCAATTTATCTGTCAGCCTGTGTCTTTATTTTGTGGTCATACAATCATAACTCAAAGTGGTCTTTGCTAAACATTTTTAAAAGTGTTGTGTTTTTTATTCCAACGTCATTGATATTTAAGAACCATCCTCTCAAAACAGAAGAATCACAGTGAGTTTGTAAATAGGTAAAAAGAAGTAAAGAAAATTTGTATCACTCTGAATAATTGTTTTTTCAAGGAGTCCAGAGTATGATTTTAGAATTTGTAGCTGAATGATATCTACTAAAAATACCATACATGCAAGTTTCCATCTTACCTGTATGATAACCCCTTTGCACAGTTATATTTCAGCAGGTAAGTGTGAAACTTGCTGCATAAGTATCACTAAGATTTTAGAACGGCACTTCATAAATTAGATTTCTATTATTATCCTATTCCTGGTTGCATGTTAATTATTAGGGTGAAAATAAAGGGCGCTCTTTTATAAGCCTTCATATTTTCTGTTTACAAGGATTTTACTAACATCCAATAAATTTAATGACCTCTAACAACAAGAGGAATTGAAGTCCTACTTAGCAAATTCATAGCTTTTCAGTGTATCTGTGGCTCTATGGTATGTCAAATTGTAGGAATGTAAAAGTGGTTTAAGAAGTTGGTGCTGGGTTCAACTGGCTGCAGAAACTTTTAAGTTATTTTTGTTTCTCCTTTATTGCTTAACCTCTGGGGCCTAACTCTGGGCTACTTGATAAAGCAGTCATTCAGGAATTTTAAACCATACAAGCTTTGACTTGATAGACACAGAACAAGGTCTTGTATTAAACATACATTTTTAAAACATAATTTCAAATCTGGAAATTGATTGTGGTTTGACTTACCTATATTGAAGAGCTCACTGTTCCTTACTTTCTTTGCTTTGCTGACATTATTAGATCTATTGTTCTTTTACCAGAACTCCCAGCTGATAGAAGAAAAATCAATGTAGAGCAAAGCTTACTGGGCAACAGCACTTTCATTACAGTCAGAGCCACAAATGACTAACTAAGTTATGACATTTCTACTTTTAAAGGTTGCAAATGTTTATATTATGCATCTTCTGATATTCTCAGAGGGCCAGAGTCAAACTTGCATGAAGCAACCTGGGAACAAAGCAGTCTTTTAAAAAAATTCAATGTAACACACTGATTTTTAGTACATGCCAATATGAGAGTTATAAATCACAAGGAATTTCTTTTCAATGCTGTTTTTTAAACAAAGCATACATCCAAAGTTACTCTTCCCAGGATTTATTTATCTGCATACCCTTACATGCTCTCGTTTCAGTCAGCTGTTGGTCATACTGATCTCTCAGCTGCCTATTGCAGTGTGGATTTGGTACTTGCCTGATGCAAGCAGGAAGCAAAAGGATCTCTGAGGATGCATCCCTTCTAGACCCCATCGCCTGAGCTAGCTCATCTTGGATTGAGGATGCTCAGAGGTCTGTAGTTCAAACACACATCTGCCCAGCTAATGGGGTCAGAACGTCTTCTTCCAATAATGGATTGGTTCTCTCTCGGGTAAAGTGCCTCTAAGAGAAATTGAGAGGATCCTTAAATAAGATTTGATGCAGCCCGGGAGAATGACAATTACATCTTTTGCTAACACTATTCCTAAGGCAAAGTCATGCTTTGTAGGAAACAGGATGATGGAGTACTTGGGGAGGGTTTTTTTTAGTGTAGTGACTAGTAGGTAGGTCCTTGCTACAGAAAAGTTTTGCGAGAAAGAAAATGAAACTCACATAAATGGCCCTTCAGTTGGAGACAGTGAGAAGTGTCCCTCTGTGGGTCGCTTTGGTAAAGTCTGGGTTATTTTCTTCTTGGACTAAGTGCAGCTGGTGGTGGCAATGGGTGTTTTTATCCAACAGGTAAAAAACACAAGAGCCACTCCTGGGATTGAAGTCCAGCTGAGATGTACAGTAAAAGAGGCACTCAGAAGGGGCTGCCCCAATCAAGTTAGAGCTGCAATTTGAATTCATAGCTGAGTAGTCCTTTGCTGGGTCTCAACACGTCCCATGGCATGTCTCAGGCAAGGGGCTGGGCACAGGTGAGTTTATTAGACACAGTGGGCTGTGCCTACACCTGAACTTTCTCACTCTCAGAAGTATTATTTCCCCACACTGTGCAGGACTATGCACACTATAGCTGCAAACCTGCCTCACAGTCACCAGCACAGGGAGAACACCATGGCTGGGCAGCAGCCTTCTGTGGCAGGGGAGGGAGATCCCAGCAGTTAGAGGGCACTAGAGCCACCACTGAGCTCCTGTATCTGAACAAAAGCAGGGTGGATTTGCTTGCCTCTCTTATCCCCAGATTACTGGTTTCCCAGAAAGTCCAAGGCATGCTGATATTTTCACCCATTATTCTTGAATTCAAATCCTAATTTCCATGGTAGGTCTGTGGCTGAAATATAAATTGGAGGTGTGGGCAGTAGCTGAGACCTTGCCTGTCTCTGACTACTTAATTCCTGATTTTGTAATTCCACAGCCTTCTGCACATGTCAGTTTTACATGCAAGATGTAGCAGTAGGCTCTCCAGTCGTTGCTCCCAGCTTAACTGACATCAATCATCCATTTTGGATACCCAGTACACTTGCATAATACTGCTGTCCCAGACTCCTACATCAGCACCAGCGTGTCAGAAGTTCAAGTTGCACAGTAGCACCACAACCCCTTCAGAAATGTGGCTGCAGCCCTCTGGTCTCACCTTCCTACTGGGGACACAGCACAATCCTCCCTGTTACCCTCCTTCTCTCTCTCCCTGGTTTTTCATGTGTACTGACATTCACTGCTGGCCTTGGCTCTGTAGTGAGGGTCCCTTGAAGAAGCGTAACTCAGTGGTGGTGATGAGACACTGGAACAGGTTGGCCAGAGAAGCTTTGGATGTCCCACCCCTGGAAGTGCTCAAGGCCAGCTTGGGTGGGGCCCTGAGCAAACTGGTCTAGTGGGAAATGTCCTTTCAGGGCATTTGAACTAGATGATCTGTGAAGTTCCTTCCATTCTGTGATTCTGGG